CGAATCTGCTGTATTACAGGTATTATGGTTATTGTTGTTTGCCAACACATTCGCCACATACACTTAATGAGATGAATATATGTCAAAGTAGAAATCGCCCAAAAAAAGTCAATTATCTGCACAGGAAAAATATTAAGACTGATGGTTGAAGCACTTTTTGTGACTCTTTTGCATTGTTTCACTTAAAGGAACAGTGTGTAGGATTTAGTGGCATCTAGTGGTATAGTGGCGAGAAGGAGAAACTACAGTGGCCACAAAATGTGCAAAACAAAATGCAAATGCCCCTATCTAGAGCCTGTAGAAACATGGCACGTCATCATGGCAGACTCCATGTAAGGCGACCCGCGGTGTCTGTAGCTATAAAAGGCTCATTCTAATGTAACAAAAACATAACACTTTCTATATTTAGGTGATTATACACTGATGAAAACAGCTATGCATAATATATTCCACTTCTGCCAATAGATCCTGACATCTTTAGGAAACAATGATCTGTGATACTGAAGGTGGTTGTCGACACTGAGAAATTATGTGTGGCACTAACATTTCTTCCTGTATTGTCTTGACTCATGAAAGCACGTCAGCTTCCTGCACAACCACTAGAGCACTGACACCAACACACACAGCACAGTCATATCAGTCACACGCACCACTACTGACAATAAGATCATCACATCAGCGGTTTATCTTAATGTAAAACACTTCTGAGTGTACTGGGAGAAGGGACAGCTAACTGTAGCAAAACACAATCAACCAGTAATTAAGATGAACTTTAACACTTAAGGATCCATTTACTCCCTATTGTTAAATAAATAAAACTCAAAGCTTTCAAAAGACACTCGGTGAAGGATTTTCATTGATGGTTAAGTGGAGAGTGGCCTTATAACCCTTGAAAGCAGCCAAGATGGTTTAAAAAAAAAAAAAAAAACAGGATGTGGGTAGTGTTTCTGGTTTCAGACTGTTAATGATAAAATAGAGCTCATTTGGGTGTCAAAGCTAAAGCCAACACATAAATCCCCCGTCTATCTCCAATTCATTATCGGAAGAGCAGCAGCAAAATGTGTCTCTTGATAACTTTACAGACGGGAATGTTGGCTCTGTGCTCTCTGGCTTAAGAGAAGAGCCATAAATGTTGGCAAATATTAACCTGACATATGCAAAATCATAGAAGAGACACATTACGATGCTGTGTTTGTGTTCCTTTTGTTTCGCCGTTGAGCTAATGGAGGACAGGCTGTAGATACTGAACCGTAACACATTTTTGGTATTGATTGAAATGTGTCTGTAGTAATGTACCAAACTCTGGCATTGAATGTGTAGTCAGACCATTTGCTAAACCCTTCCCTTGACCCCTGATTGTCCAATCATAGCTCAGGATACCTGGGCGAGCTTTAGATTTCTCCACAATACCAACAGCGTACGCGGGGCTTTAGATGGGAACGCATTAAACCGTGTTTATCTGCTCTAACGTAGCTGTAATTGTTTGCATGTCAGACTAATTAGCGTACGATCAACAGTTATAAAGGAGCGCTACATCCAAGGCCAAGGACATTCATTCATTCAAGACTAACACATCCAATCTGTAGTACTACCCCATGTGTGGAAGCCAGTCGTAAAGCTATCAGAGTTTACGCTAACATTAACAGCTCTGTGCTGCTCTCCAGTAACCCCAGCAATGTCAGCTGAGATAGCAGTTCAAACACAATGCTGATTCAGCATTCACCACCAGATAAATCCGTATTTATTTTGCAGTATAACTCTTTATACGTATATATATATATTAATCTAGTGTCTGTGGCAACATTCCTTCCCATGTGTTTTATGTCAAGGACTGGTTTGAAGGGAGCAACCAGAGCCACAAATCAATGGTAGGCTACAAGCAACTAGGAGTATGGCGGAGCCTATGGCATTAGCATATTTCATAAACACGCGTTGACAGCGTTGTATAAATTACTCTCACTGCCAGAAGGGGGAGACAAAAGTTCGGCACTACAGATTTATAAGTCAAAACAGACCATTTGAAAATACAAACAAATCCTAAGCTAAGCAGCTAAACAGTGTTATGTTAGAAACAGAAGTGATCTTTCTTCCTTATGATCTAGCCCTTCATTGCAATACAACAGCTTTTCTTTATTTCCACGTCTTCTACATGGACCCTAAACTGGTGTCGATGCTGACCTGCAGCTTAAGTCTCAGACTTTTAGCGTATACATAAGACCCATTTACAGGATTCTCATTTTAGGGGCGCCCTGGTAGCTCCACCTGGTAGAGCTCATGTATGAAGGCTGAGCCCTTGCTGCAGCGGCCATGGGTTCGAGTCTGACCTGTGGCCCTTTGCTGTGTGCAATCCCCCCTTCCTGTTTATCTGGAGCTGTACTGTTAAATAAAAAGGCAATAAGTCCCAAATATATTTAAAAGAATGAGAACCAAGGACCCACACAGAAAATATATATATATACATTAAGTTTATTTTACTTTTGAGTGAAAATCTCTCATTAGAACTGTATGTGTGCTGTTCTAGAATGGAATGCTTGACAGGCATAGCAACAGTAACTAAGGGGGGCAGGGCTTCGCAAAAAGTCAATTGCAGTTTACTAATTGTTGTTTTTCACTTATTTAATTGCAACTTGCTCTTAATTCACGTATTTGACTATTTTATTTAGGGATAAGGCTTAATATTTGTGTTTCTACTGGTACTGAAAAAAGTAATGTTTTGATATAAATATCTAAAGTAAAAAATTACATTGTTAGCTCTCGTCACTGGGGATGAACCAAAAAAGCGGGGGTATCCATTGCTGGACTGGAGATGCCCGAGTAAAAGGACAAGAGGACAAAAATAAGTGACAAAAAAGACCCTTCCTCCACAGAGCAAAATCAATGTGAGCTGATGAAGATTAATTCCTGTTTAACACATCCTGACACATGGGAGAGGGGCCCCCAACAACAACAGGACAACAGTTCAGCTCACTTCACTGCAGCTGGGGGAGGTAGGGGACAGCGAGAGACATACCACAGAGAAGAGAGAGAGCGAGAGAGAGGGAGCAAGGCAAAGAATGTGGTCAGAAAACTTCCTGATTCTACAGAAAGGGGCGAGAGAGAGAAAAAAACACCTCGACAAATGACTGAGCAGAGTTGAGGAGGAGCAGAAACAAGATCAACAAGGGACCAGGAAGTATGCAAAAGACAAAAAAAAAAAAAAAAAAAAGGCCAGGTAGAATTCCAACAAGAGACTCCACCTGAGCCCCTCCTCTTAATGTACACACCCCCTCACAAACCTCCTCCTCCTCCGCACACAATCAGAGCTTCCCATGCTCCCAGGCTGGTGTGTGAGGTCCTGCCTCCCTCCCGTTAAGCCTCGTGAGCCCTGCCCCCAGCCCCTGACCCAGTCACCAGCATCCCTTGCTAACCTCTGTCCCCTTTTTCCCCATTCAGCAAACATCATGCATCACTGTCACCCTCCTCCTCCTCATACACGCATGTATCCCGCCATCCGCTTAGCGAGGACCCCTCGTGTGTGCCTGCGGGTCCGAGCAGCTTGCCCGCACCCCTCCCAGTCCATTCGATTCCTCGCGAGCAGGTTGTAGGCGCGTGTGTGTCTGCACGTGTGCAGAGGCATGGGCCACAGAACTGACTGTAAATCTGTCAGGAGAGGGGTGCTGTGGAACAAGGAGAGGGCTTCTCGCCGCCACACCCCTCCACTTGGCCAGCAGACAGACAGCTCAGCCCACCATAGAGCTGAAATGATCAGTTGATTAAAAAGGACCCACAGAAAAAAATTATTTGCCAAAGATGTTGATAATCGATGAATCATTTAACCCGTTGATAAGCAGCAATCCAGAGTTGACATACAGCAGTTGAAAGCAGAAAGAACGGTATCAAGATTAACCTGATATCACTTCTTTTTTAGGTTTGTGCACAAAGAAAATGTTTGTTAATGTCATCTATAAATCAAAAGTTCAAACCAGTGTGAGTATAATCTGCTTTTCTCTTATTTATATCTTTGTAATCTTAATATTTGGGGGTTTTTGGGGCAGAAAAAGTAATTTAAAGATGTCATCTTGAACTCTAGAAACTGGGACATTTTTCCAATTTACTTCTTTTTTCTTTTCATATTTCATAGATGAAAAATAATGACAGATTCATCAATAATAAAGATAATCATTAGCCGCACCTTTACTCAAGGCACAATACAAGGCTTGCAAAGAGATCTTAAATTTAAACATTAACCTTAGTGTAATTAACTCCACCTGACATCCCTCACCTGTCCACACTGACACACAAACCATCTGCATCCCTTCCATTCAACTACTGTTTACACACACACACACACACACACACACACACACACACACACACACACACACACACTGAAGAGCAGACTGCCATTATCCAGAGCGAGCAGGTATCTAGTAGTCTAGGCTATGGTGTAATGCTCAAGGACATGGTGCTATTCACACACACACACACACACACACACACACACACACACACACACACACACACACACAGGCTGGCTGTTTGAGGGATCAAACCGTGGACCATCAGGGTTACAGTGTATAGCACAGGGCCACGGTGCTGCCCCCTGCAGATATACAGTGAGACACATATTGCTGAGGATGAAGCAGATGACAGGAGGGGGGTTATGAAGGAGACATAAGAAAGAAAAAAAAAAACACAACCACCTCACACATCTATAGGCAATGCATGCCCTCCATTCAATGCACTGACTTGCATATTGTGTGTCATACAGTAGAGTCTGTGCACTTTATCGCTCAGAGGTCCCGGGCAGGCTGGTTGACTGACAGACAGACAGCATCGTCTGCCTCTTCCCGCATCGCACGTTTTTAGTATTTAAACCAGCAAAAAGCCTCTTTTAACACACACACACGATGCATGTGATACACAGCTGAGTGTGTTTTGCATGCACTTGATCAACAAACATTCAGTGCAGAATATATATCCCCCCCCCCCTCACCACCACCTCATGTTAACGACAGCGTCAGGCTCAGCTGTTGTACAGTTTCTCCCTACCGACCATCCGACGCACAGACAGCAGCCAAAAAGCGAGAGAAAACTAGTTAACTATCACCTTGTTTGTGTTTTAAGTATAAAGTGTGTGTGCTTTCTCCAAAAACTCCCCCCACCACCACCACCTCTCCTCCTCCTACCATGTACTGCATCTAATTGGAAACACTTCTGAGATCCAGCAGCTTGTGCGTAAACTGGCCAGCTTTTTTTTTTGCGTGATCAAGTTAAGTTTATCCAAATCTGCAAACAAACAAAAAACATTCATTCATTTTTTTTTTTTTTGCAACGCAGGCTGACAAACCTAAAAACAACAACCAATGCACCGACACCCAGCATGCACTTCATCACCATCACGGACAGGTTGGTACAATCTTTTTTTCTTGCTGTCATGTACTAAATGACCATGCACTGTGCCCTCCGCACCGCACCGATGCCAATATTGTGCTGTGCACTGCCGCTGGGAACCCAAGTCAGTACATTTCCGTCCTCTATCGAAATGCAAACCAAATGCAAACTCGTGCTAAATCAGCTGGATGTTCGCAAACGCGCACGGCACGAGCTTACCTTGTGGACGTAATCTCTCTCTCTCTCTCTGCCGGATCGATAATTTCTTCTTTACACCGTTAACTCTCCGCCATCTTCGGCACTGTTTGTTTAAATGGGAAACACTCCCGAAAGCCCAAGAAGCCAGTTCTGTAAGTTGAGGCGTCGCGGGGGCTTCTGGGTAACGGAGTTCGTTCGAACGGAGCGCCGCGCTTCGAGGCCGCGTCGTCAAACCCGGATACGGACTACAGGCAGACTCCACCACCGCAGGCGGGGTGGGGGGGGAGGTAGGATGGGAGGGGGGCAGGCACTGTCTGTCTAGCAGCCTACAGACGGATGTCAGCGACGGCAGCAGAGAGAGATGCAACGGTGTGTGTGTGTATGTTCAGTTAAACTCCACGAAAAGCAGACAGACTTGTTTTTTTTATTTGACTGCGTCCGGAGGCTAGAACAGCCACTGTTTTCCAGACTTTGTGCCAGAAGAAAATTTCGTTTGGCTGCAGGGGGAGAGGGTGACACAGAAAGTAGACGGCTGTAAACTTGAGAGCAAAAATAGGACGCGGAGGTCTTAATCCTTGTCTGATAATGATGAGTTGGTCCATTTGGGTAAATAAAAGTCTCATTTATGTGCCAGGAGCGTCTACTTTATTAGAAGCTGGGATTAGTTTGGACACTTTAAAGGCAGTCGCTCCCAATATCTTTCCTAAAAGGAGCCCTTTTTCATTTATTGAACAAGACTAATGACCCCTTGCCTAAAGTGACATATGTTATGGACATTTCTTATTATATTAATACAAAACAACTGTATAAATTGCACTAATTGGTGTAAAATTAGGGATTTTAATGAATTCTGAGCAGAATATTTAATGTGAGCGTCACAGAAAAGTTTTCCTGATATTTTTTGTAACTTTTTTATACAATTATTTGTCCGTATTATAACTTATTTTTCATTTAGGCTATCATACATATGCAATAGGCCTTTTTCTGGACAAATGTTGTGTTTTCTTTTCCCTGACACTATAATTGTATTAGCTTTTTAGTTGTTTTAACTGCTCTCTAATGCAGTACGAGGCTGTTTAGTAGACAGCGGAGGCTCTGTGAATATAGCTTGTGTTCAGGTCTTCACTGTGCCTTTATCCTGTAAGATTTTCTTTAAGGTTTATATCTTAATAATCTAAACATTTAGTTTTCTTTAGTAATATGTGTAAAATACTATATGTTATCAGGTACTATATTATAAAATATCTTACAGATCATCAAATATTTATGTCAAGGTGAGAAATGTGGTAATTTTTTGGTCTTTGTGTAACACAGATCTAAGAATACCATTAAAATTACATCTATTCATTCACACTGTAGATACTTTGAATAAGATGACTGAAAAGAGTCTTAAAAGTAAGTACAATACATCATAATAGAGATGTTATTTCTTTGTATACTAAAATCAAGATGTCAGGGACATTTTCATAGTATAATGTGTATCAGTATCTGTTACAGATACAAAAAAAGAGCTGTTTTCTATCAAAACTCTGGTTTTCCCTTCCTCACAAAACAGGCAAATGCTAAAATGTCACTTCACATCCTGCAGCCTTTTTACAGGAGCCAGCCTTATGTGAACTGGGTTTGTTTCACTAGAGGGAATGAGGCTCCTTCAGGCTGCCTATCTCTTATAGATGAGGCCCATATGTGGGCTCCGTATGCGAGCTGGCAAGGTCAGCGTGGAGCAGTGACGCTGGAGCCGGGTGGCCTATGAACTGGGACACGTCGGCACAGCGCCCCGACTGCTGCCAAGATATACAAGGCAGGGACAGATAGCACCAAAATCCGTCACTATGGTGATGCCAGGCGGAAAAGAGCACAGATACATGGATAGATACAAAAACACACACACACACGCACAGAGTGAGTAGTATTGTAGTGTAGTGTCAATGACAGTGGGAATGAAAGAAGACGAGAACAGGAAGGTGAGAGAGAAGTGAGACAAGATGATGAGATAGTGGAGTTTAGTTTAAGGCACTTTAAGAAGACGCAGAGACAAGATCACAGATATTGATAAATGGAGCCTATTGCCAGAAGAGAGGGGTTGCTGGGATAAACCTATAGGTGTTAAAGAAACAGAAAGTATAAAAAGGGGAGAGAAGAAGCGAGTGCAGAGTTGACAGTGTGATGGAGGAGGAGAGGAAGTGTTGTAGCTCGAAGGAACATAGAGGGAGTGAAAATAAGGTACTACACCAGTTTCACTGAGACAGTGAGGGAGGGCATGCAAGAAGGATAAAAGTATAAGACACTACGGAGAGTAAGAACATTTTGAAATAGGGTTGTGGAGAAGGTTTTAAAGCAATTAGCCTCGTGGGTCAGGCATAATTCATCAGGAAAAACTGAAAGAACAGCTAAGGAGAAGAAATGTGATTAGAATATAACTCAGCAGCGAGGGATGGAAAAGTGTGAATGTTCTTGGAAAGCAAAAAGTGACATTATAAAGATCTGTAGAATTTAATTTCAGCCGCCTACTAATTCTGAAAAGATGTCAAGACCATTTAAAAGAGCATAATCTGAACAGTTTTATCAAAGTTTATCGCTTTTTGTGCATTTCATACAAACTGCTCATTTCACAAAAATGCTACACTGTACCCCTGTAATACACACAAACGCTCAGAGACACACATACACATACAGGGACAAGTCTGAGCCAAAGGATTTAGAGACGTTTTAAGCCTCCTTTAAGAGAAATTAGAGCACATTTGAGGTCCACTGGCAGGCTGTAGTGAACCAATAACTGCCATGGAAAGAGCTAAATGCAGGTAAAAGGTTGTCAAGAAAGAAGAGAAACTGTTAATGATAGTTTTGAGCATCTAATTCTGGAAACAGACCGGATGAACCGTTTTCAAGCAGGAAAAAATTGTGGCCTGGTCACAAACTATCTTGTATTACAGCTAAATAGTGCAATAAATATGTGTCTGATAACATTTGAGTCGAGGAATAGGCAACGCAGTAAGAGTCTGGCATTTAGAGCTGAGTTTCATGAGGTCGAGTCGTGTTTATACAGGTACAGATGTGGCGAATGGGCCGTCAACTCGCTGCTTTGTAACCATTATGCACCATCACTGCATGGCCTGATCTCCTCCTCTCCATAGAAAATGATTTTTTGACATGCGTCCTCACATCCGGTCTGTGAGCTGCTATACGTTTACGTTATATGACTGCACACAGTATGCTGACCATCAGGATCAACTGTACTTTTTTATACCGACCATCTATGTTGTGTATATCTTGTATTTGTGAGTTCGAGTTTGTGTGGTGGGAAGCTGTAACAGTCAAGTCACATATAATGTCTGACCCCAACACCACAAAATATACAGTATACCACAGAGTATATTTACTAAATACATGGCTATCATTAAAAAGTAACGTTAATGACATCATCAGGGAATATCTGACATCCTTGGAGTTTCTCTTTAAAACCCCCAGAAAACCCTGTTTTTATTGAGAATCTAGTGCTTTAACTTCGTCACGGTGCTGCAGGGATGTAGAAGTGTACTCCAGGGTGTGTCAGTACACCGTGACATCACCGACCACACCTGATTGGAGGGTGTGTTGAAAGAGACTGTTCAGTTACTCTTTAAGGCTCGATATAAATAAGTCACGGAGATATTAAATGACCATTTAATGACTAAAATTATAATATTCCAGATACAGAAATCGTTATTTTATTCTACATGAAACGGAAAGCAGAGTGAGGTTTGCATCCACATATTTCTGTGTTTCCTGGAGAAACAAGCAGCTAGATAGGCTCTTAACGTCACGGTAGCCAATAGCGGTGAATGTGGGTGACGTCCCCCAACCATATCATGCAGCTGTAGCGGCCCTATTAGCTAAATCTGCTGGAAAATATTTTCCCCATAAAATATGATCCAGTTTCACCCAAATCAGTTATAAAGTTGTGTTTTTGTACAGTAATCAGTGAGGCCTGGCCCCCATTAGTTGCTTGCTAGCTAACTAATGAATCTTTGCTCTGTGTCGCTAAAAGTTGAAGATTGATTGACGGGTTGGTGATATTGGTTGAAATTGGTTGGTTCACGTAAGCATGCATCACATTTTCTTTTACAAGAACATTTTTTTTTGGCATAAATTGTTAATTATGTGCACAATATAACCTGGGAAAGGCATTTTTCATTTAATCTCAACTTTAATGTCTTGAATTTGTTAAAGCACCATAACAGTGTTGCAGTCTTTGCATATTTTAGCTAATCTACTAAAAAAGCACAAGTTGATTTTCAGTCCATATTAAATGAGAGGAAACTAATGGCTGCTGGAAACATTCAGAATTATAAAGCATTACCCTGTGATTTGGACAATGGTTGGCAGTAATGTAAAGTATGTCTATAATAATTGGCCTAAAGCAGGCATAACCACTGGCAAGTTATTCTTGGGACTGCCAGGATAACTGGAGTTTGATTCTTAAAAACATGAGACTTAGCTTACTTTCACGAAAATAATTATTACATGAACGACAAAGCTGTAATTGGATTATTATTGGAAGTCAGAATCGTTCCAGACTTTTGCTTGCAAATAATTTCATTTAAATATATTCTCTGGAATTATGAATAGCTTTTGAGACTATCTGCAAGCATGATTTTTAAGTGCCTATGCTGCTATTGCATTTTGGAAACACTTTTAATTCATTATGCCTGTTCCTGATAGAGTGAAACAGTGGAGAATTGTTTTTCTATAGCCAGCTGGCTTCTGGATGCAGTCCCACAATATTTAAAACCACATTATTATGCTACTTATTGTCCATCATTTGGAAAATTCCACAGTGTTGCCCGAGGCTAAGAAAACGGAAATGGCAGAAAATGAAATGTAATGTGAAGAAACACATGCGAGTACACACCCAAAAGAATCACTTGTACTATAGTAGCACCTCAGCATTGAGGTACAAAGATACAATAAAGCATACTTACTGCTTAATATCAATCCATTAGATGGTTACAGCGTGAACAGAAGATCATGCTTTATTTACCAGCATACAGTTTATTGTTGAGACAGTCAGTGAGAATTTAGGGGACTGCAGAGAGAGTTGTGGGAAGGTGAGAGGAACAGGGAAGCTGTTTAAAATTCCAAACAGGTAGGGACGAGGCTTCAGGAGGGTAGTGGAACAGCTACGAGCACGCACACACACGTGTGTGAGCGCACACATGCACACAGATGTGAGACATGGAGAAAGAAAAGAGGCAACCCATATGTAGAAAATGCTGCCACATTTGTATGTAGAGCTAAAATGATTAGTCGATTGATCTGTTTGTTCATTCGTCAATTTGATCGACAGGAGATGTATCAGCAACTACTTTGTGTAATTGATTAATCGTTCAGTAATTATTCAAACAAAAATTTATTATTTGGGGATTTTGGGCTGTATTGCTATCTGCCAACATCACCTTGGGCATCTTTCATTAAGTGTCTTTCATTTTATTTTATAGTTTTGAGAAAATAATTGGTAGATAATATTTAAAGGTCCAGTGTGGAACATTTAGGAGGATCTATTGTCAGAAATTTAATATAATATTCATAGGCATGTTTTTATTAGTGTATAATCACCTGAAAATAAGAATTGTTGTGTTTTCGTTACCTTGGAATGAGACATTTTTATCTGCAGTGGGAGCAGGTCGACTTCCATGGAGGCCGCCAAGTTTCTACGGTAGTCCAGAACAGACAAACCAAACACTGGCTCTAGATAGGGCCTTTACGCATTTTGTGGCCACCATAGCCTCTCCTACACGTTTGGAAGGCTGAGCTGTATTCAGATATTTGCAATCTGCAACCTACCACTAGATGAATGATGATGAATATATACACTACGAATAATGACCAGGTGAATACATTCACTGTACACCTTCAGGTTTAATCTTTGCCTATGATATTCTTTACATAATACTAAAAAATAGAAAAACAGGATTCTTATTTTCAGGAGATTATACACCTATGAACCTATGAATATTATATTTAATTTCTGCGATAGATCCTCCAAAACGTTACACATGGGACCTTTAAGAGGTTAACTCGACCATGTAGATGAAGTATGAAGTTGGCCTGTTTGCATTCACATGGACATAATGTATTTGATTGCTTTCAGAAGGAAGGGAAATTACACAGAAATAATCAAGAAAAGAAACTGGTCACAAATAAAGCAGGAAAGATAAAGGTGGAGCTGTGTGAAACAATTAGGTGGTCATGTATTTATGAATTCACCATATGGTTCAGTCCCATTTAGCCAGTAGGCCTAGTTTCTGCCTCCCATCATCCAATGTAAAATCAATACACCATGATTGAACGGTTAAAGCAAAAAACAGGGGCAGTTGTAGAATCACTGACTCAAAAGCCTCGATGGATGATGCATTTGCGGTTTGGAAAAACAAAAACCCACAAAGGCGGCGGAATAAGCGAGAGAGGAAGGTGGGAGCGTGGCTTTTTTTTTGCGCTTACACCGTGGAAGAGTGCACGAACCAAGTGTTACCGAGAGAGTTCAGGCAATGGAGAAACAGATGAGACTGTATAAACACACGTGACCCCGCTAGTGCTGTCAGCTGTCCCAGTTGCGGCTGGGCCGTGTGTGTGTGTGTGTGTGTGTGTGTGTGTGTGTGTGTGGGGGGGGGGGGCATGCACATATGTGTAGGTGTGTAAAGTTTCATGTTCCAGATGCACAGCTTGTTGTCGCACAGCTGCATGCACACACACACACACACACACAGAGAAAGCATTCCACACAGTCTGGAGCACGTGCATACATCATATTCATAATCCCTCTACATATTTGTTGATTTCTATGTTGCTCAATGCGAACGCTTGAGGCCAAACGTGCTGACTCCATAACTGAGGTCTTCACTTGCTCTATTAATTCACACTGCTACGTGTTTTGGTGTGGTCAAACAGTCAGAGGCAGGCAAGGACTGACCACAAATAGCACAGCTCTTAAAATACATAATGATCATATGTAGGGCAGTTTGTTAATTTCAAAACTATTGAGGGGGCACAGAATGAGTTCAAGCTGTAATCAATCTAGATTGGAGAGCACGCAGGGACAAATCTGGAAGCGTGAAACAAGTCTTAAGCACAGAATCCTGATTTCATGTGCACTCGGTTCAACATGTGCTCTCATAATTTCCACCAGCAGTTTTGGCAGAGTCTCTGCATTTAGGAACTTGAGAAAAAGGCTTGATAAGGAAACAATTTCTGGTAAAGCTTTCCAGTTAGAGAGCTCGTTAGCCCTGTTAGCTTTGACTGTTTATTCAAAAGACATGTTAGTACCATTGACTCCTATCTCATAACTGTCAAACCATTCCTGTTTTGTGGAGCAGTCTATACTCCTTAAGGAAGGGTAAATAATGCTGGATGGTTCACAATCACAGCTAATTAGCTTCCTCCATTGGACCGCTCAAACGTCAGCAGCGTCAAGACATGAAGAGTTGCACTGATAGCGGCAGTTCTAGCGTCAAGAATTGATTTCACTGCTTAATTTAACTTAGTTTTAAATGCTGGTGTGACTGGGCCTTTGGGCTCTTGACAAATCCATTAGATTTCACTTGCTTGCAAGGGACACTCACTTCCAAAACTGAAAGTGTGCAACAGGATACGAAGCAAACTAAGTCCCGCTTCTTCATTTCTTGACACAGTGTTTCTCTCACAGGATCAAAACATCTATTATTCTCAACTCTGCCTCTGCTTACTCTCAGAACTTGTTCTGTGCTTATAAATCTGTCCTTGTGCTTACTCAAATCTTGACGACTGATTTCCATTTAAATTTGATCTATGCCCTTTCAATTGTTTTGCTATTAATTAACTTCCACACATAAGCAGTAATGTTTAGCCTCAGAGCCATTTTAATTTCTTTTGTCTGCTATTATTTCTCCTCCTCTCCCTCCATTTCGAATCAAGAAGTCGTTTTGCTAAGCTACTACTAAATAAGATTTGTTCCTAAAATGACTTGCATTCACACACAAACATACATATGCACACACCAAATGGCAGAAAGCTGGATAATGAATAAGGTGGAGAGAAAAGCCATTTATTGAGGGATGATGCTGGATGAAAATATACAACCTAACATCTTTTTTCCCCTCCCATCCTGTCATTTAGTCTCTCTCATTTATCTTTCTGTTGTCTATAGCCTCTTTACCTCACCTTTCCTCCCTTTATGTGTGCCATTTAGGAGCATTTGCTGGCACTGATGGACACTGATAAGACACTACTCTCCTCTTTACAACACACTACTCTCTTCCCTCCATTATTCTTACTGTAAATCACAGCACTCTGCGCGACATTGCTCTCCGTCTGTCTGTTTCTCTTCCTCTCGCTTCCTTTACCATTTTGTCTTCACTCCCGTCTGCTTTTCATTCCCGTGCCTCTGATCCCTCCAGATGTTTCCACCCCTTCCACACTCTCCTTCATTGGTCTACACCTGCTCTATCGCTCACCTCAAGCCCTCCCCTCTCGTCTGCTCGCTCACAAATAGCCGTGAGGTCATGAACGTCTTAGATCTCCACCATGCTTCATGGATCACTGCAAGTAAACCTGGCTGGGAGAGCAGCTGCTGCCCAATTTGCTCATTTAAGACAATCAATGAAAATAACACTGAGGGACTACAATACGTCCAAGAGATTAAGCAGACACACAAACACAAAGGCACACACACACACACACACACACACACACACACACACACACACACACACATGCTCCAGTCCTGCTAATTGTTGGCTATTAGTCTGCAAGTCTGGGATTGCATGTCTTATTAAATACAGAATTTCAAATGAGCTTCGTTAAATAAGAAAGTACTCCCCTTTTAATGAAGCTAATTTATATGGAAATTACACATAATACTGACGATTCAGTGAGAGATTTATCCTCATTGGATGAAGGGGAGGAATTAAAGAAAAAAAAAGAGGGGGATAGTGATTCCCCCCCCCCCTTTGCCTTAGCAAGGTCCCTGCTGTTGGACTCTTTCTGCAAGTTTGCTTTTGAAGCACACCCTCAGCGGGTTCAGGCCATGTATGTTTGGGTTGTGGATACAGCCATCAGTGTGTGTGTGTGTGTGTGTGTGTGATGGAGAGCGAGTGTGTGAACTCCTGTCCTTGTGCTGACCCTGCAGAGCTCCAGCCTGCCTCCCTGGTTCCCACTGATCCATCATGCTGTCTGATTGCCAGGAGAAAACCCATTACTCTGAAACAACACAACACATTAGCAGTGAGCTGCAGGTGTCTCTTCTCTGTGTTGTGCTCATTCCTCACCATCCGTGGATGCAGATGTCATGTTTACAGTGCCCCGCCAGTCAAATTGCAGAACAGTGGAGCTGAGGCGGAGGTCTCCCACCTGAAATATACTCTCATATTTGGATAAACCCATCAATTGCTTCATTTTGTTGGTTGACTGCACATTAAAGTCTGTTTAAGAGTGTTGAGCTGCATACTGTGTGATGAGACAATGTTTCTATCTTTCTCACTCTGACTAGTGATTTATTAATGCAGGTCTGTATGCAGCTATGCCCCTGCAGACTGCTTCTGTCCCTCAGGCAAAAAGCTCACAGTTGCCCCCTGGTGGTAATTAAGCAAGAAGTAAGATTTGGCCAATATTTCCTCAAGTCTCCTGACACCATCCCCAAAAGGGATAAATGATTTTTCAATTTTTTAAATCAAGTAGGTCTCCAAATATGTCCTTAAGTTAAATAGGTGGAAGGATGTAATGAGCAGGAGGCAAGAGAGGGAAGCCTAAAAAAACCCAAGATTTTGTGTGTATCCCTGCTTTATGAATGGCATTTTCACTGCTGGTTCACCCCAGTGGGTAATTATCTACATCCCTCATAATTTAATGTTTTTTTGTGGGTGTTTCCATGGAGACAGTTATACTACTCAACCTGTGGGCAGCATGTAAACAAATAAAATATATATATACATGTTCAACAAGTTTGTGTAATGAATAAAAGCTTTATTCAAACATGAAATAAAAAAATAGTGACAAAAAAAAAAATGATCAGAACTCACAAGAATTTGCATAAATATATACCATCAGAGCAGTTCAGAGACAACATATTTGAAAAGGAAATATATCGCAACATCTATAAACAAGCAGCAAAATAAAAACAAATCAAGGACAATGCAGAATTAATTAATAGAATACAACACACGTGTGTGTCTCTGCTGTGCAGGTCTTTTTTTTTTTTTTTTAAAGTGATCTCATGGTCAAATGCATTAATGATTGTTGCCACCTAGAGGTTGCTCATACAGTTGAATCATTGCAGCCTTTTTTTTTTTTTTTTTTAAGTTTTCAACAATTACAAAATCACACAGTTTTTAAAATTGAGCAACGGCAATTTGTAAAACCCTTGAGCATCAATGCAGAAACAGCCCAAGTGAGCAGTGTTATGGTGCTCTGACATAATGCATATTATGCAAAAAAAAAAAAGTGCATTCCTGTGGGATTATACAGGCTATTGTGTCTCGAAGCGAGGGGACCGTGAACTATGGAGCAGCTCGTGTTTCAGAGCCTAAACGTCTGCTGATTGTTGTACAGTGTGACATCTGATGAGCAAGAAAAGCTTACAGATGGTTTCACTCTGCAAAATGTAGTTTGTTGGTTCTACCTCCGGCCCTGTAATCACAAATACTGAGAAACACCTGCAGAACTGGAACAAATAAAACACTATACTGACCGTTTGCTCTTCTGATTATATATTTAAACTGATGTGACAATGACTAGTGTCCGTATGATGGTGTATTTCACTATCATAAAACATGTAGTTGTGATAGCTGCAGCGTACGCCTGCAGTAGTGTTAACTGAGCACTGTTATACAATTTAGTTCACGTTGCTCTAATAAGGCCATGAAGTTAAATAAACCATTAGGCTAAGTACATTTTTACTCTCATACCACAATGTATATCCACGCTAACAGTTCAGCAAGCTTCATTCTTATATAAAAAACAATTCATATCAATATGGATGCAAAACAAATATTCACACGTGTGTACTGAACAACAGTGAATTTCAACAGTTTCCCCTCTATAAAAATAGCTTAAAAATCTGACACATATTTTAGTACAGTGTAGGGTTAGGTCAGTTTTTTTTTTCTCTTTTACATCTGAGACAGTTTAATAACAGGCTGGTACATAAGTCCTCTGCTCCTCCTTCCCTCCTATGACACTGCCATACACAGACATAGGGCTTTAAAACACCACCAAAGTCCCAATAAGGAGCGCTAAAGGGAGCAAAAAATGAATGGCATCTTCATCTCCTCACTGCTCTAAAAGACTCCAAACTCCAACTGTCTGCCGACAGGTAGTACAGTCACGTCTGTACTGGGCTTCGCATGCACAGTGGTTTAGTAGTAGAGCAGGGCTTGGTCCATGAGAGGAAAGAGTATGGCCAACAGTACAATGCGTGTGCTCCATAGCAATGTCAGGATCATTGAAAAGGTGAAGCAGGAAGGACGAAACATGCCACATTTGGCAAACAAAAAAAATCACAGAATCTCTCTCACACAGGAAAGGGTATCTGAGGGGCAGAGACATTGAACACATAAGCATTTAGTAACCTATAGATCATACACCTATCCACAGCTCAGTGTTTTACACACAGGTGCGTGTCGGGCACTGAGACGGGCCCAACCGAAGTGAACTAAAAGACAGAGTAAGTGAAATACAACAAACAGGGCAGGAGTCAATGAACAGATTGTCACATTTCATGCTCTGCACGCAGGCAATATTATTATTTTTTTTAACGAGACAAGCAATAAACATCGTTGTCATCACCATCATCATCATCATTCACGCCCAGTTAATTCACATACACAGTAGGCGAAACAATACTGTACACACACACACACACACACACACACATACACACGTGTAAGTGTACAGGCATACAAACACATCCCCGAACAAACACACCTCCCATTGGGATGTAACTTAAAGTGTAAGTGGTGAATAGCTTGTCCCCTGATACCCAAGAATAAAAAAAGCGAAAACAGAGAAGGCAAACAGAACGCAACACAAGAAGAACGAGTGATAAGAACCACTGACATTATAAGGACACTTGAAGAAAGATTGTATTGTTTGGATTAACTAAACGCAGTTGCTATGTACCGCTGTGTTTGCTGGTTATAGCTTTTCAAAGCATATAAAATAATAACTATTTGTAGTATATGGCAAAAATAAATAACTCAAACTTCTTGCAGCAGTTGTAAAAAGGCCACTGAATGCTTGTGTGTTTGTGTATTGTATATATGTGTGTGTGTGTGTGTGTGTGAGTGAGAGAGAGAGATGCAAACTCAACAGCACAGGTAGGATCTAGCCATAAAGTCTTTAGCCTTAAACCATCATGCATTGATATTACCATATAAAAGACTGAATCGCAGCCTCAAACACAGTTTCTTGCTCAAGTTTCCGATCATGCCATTATAAAAAGATTTAACTGTATGCATACAGTACAGCATTACAGGTTACAGTACAGCTTCCTCTTGGTAAGTCACCTAACCTGGATGAGCCCCTGTGACAGGGTGAAGCCGATTACCAGGCTAGTGATAAAAGCAAACAGAAATACAAAAAGTGCCTCAATCCTGTAACATGTCGGATTTCAAAGGCAGAGGCTGTCAAATAATGGCAGTAAATGATCAAGGAGTTAAGCACACGCTTCAGTTTTCTGGCTGCAGCCATGCCAAATACCTAAATAGCACAAATATTAATTAATGATCTTTTCCTGACAACAGCAGAATATAGGAGTGCTGTCCTGCAGAGCAAGAAAGGCTTTATTTTGGGACTTGAGCCAGTGGCCTGTTTTGTGAGTGTAACTGAATAAGGCCCAAACTTAAAATAACACACTGTACAGTTAATCTGCACTTTATGTTAAGTTGCCCTGAAGTCAGAATTTGCTTGTTAAGGTACTGTGATGTTAACTGATGTCAAATTACTGAAGAGCAACCCAGTTTAAAGTACCCGGCGAGTGATCGTAGCTTTACACAAAAGGACACTTTGAAAAGCTAAATCTATCCTGTTAAAGCATCAAAACCAGCACTGTCCTGCCAACGTCCCATCTGCAGAGAACCCAAATTAATAATAAACACTTCTAGCAGACAGTAACACTGAACTTTTTCAAAAAGGAGTATCAACCCCCAAAGGGACAGCTATGTAAGGTTTCTTAGTGCGCTTAAACATTTGTTTTGGAGAACAGTAGACAAAATTTGAAGTTGTGTAAAGACATAATGTCACATTGTCAGAACTCCCTCACTTAGTTTGTTTCCCCACTTCTTCCATCTCTATGAAGCTTTGGCTTTTCTTGCCCGTGGTGATGTTTTATCCTCAGACTTCACAACCCCATTGGAAGCACCTCCTGACAAAGACAGGTGAATAGAAACATTACTGATGAAAGCGATTACACACACACACACACACTAATTAACAATACTGAAAAAGAATCTGAAACACTAAGAGTGTGACACACACACACACACACACACACACACACACACACACACACACACACACACACACACACACACACACACACACACACACACACACACACACACACACACACACACACACACACACACACACACACACACACACACACACACACACACACACACAGAAAAAGAATCTGAAACACTAAGAGTGTGAGACATAAACTAAAACACAGGGTTCCATTATGTCTGTCTGGGTGTCTGACTAGATGCTGAGGTTCTTGAATACTCACCCCTTGTGGGCTCCCTTTTGTGAGGCTTACTCTTTGGGCTGACCATCTTCTTCTTTGAGGCCTGGTTCTGGCTGTGCTCCCTCCACTTTTTCAACTGAAAGTTAATGAATTTCCACATCATCCAGGCCTGTGTCAGGCAGATGGCTGCCAGACAAGTCATCCTGAGGGGTGGGGAGGACACATTTTAAGAACTAAAAAGTTAAAGTGATTCAACTTGTGCAGAGGAAAGCAAAACTTTGGCTATTTCGTTTGTTTTTATGTTTAATGCCACATGTAAATTAGCTAGATAAGAGACAAAAAGGGCTCTTGCTGTTAATTGTCATTTGGACTTGCCTTATAGTGAGCACATTGAAGTTGCCTTCTGCTAGGGAGAAGCCCTGGTTTTCTGTACGGGGCAGTCCAAAGCCAAACGTCAGAACTGAGAGTGTGAGTGTGAGGAGGCGGGCAATGACAAAAAGCAGCGCCCACAGAGTAAAACTACAAAAAGAAAACAGACATTGCACCAGGTTGTTCAGATCAGATCAGGAACACACTACCGCCCACCAAACACTAATTAGAAAAATGGCAACTTGTTTGTTCCATGAATGAAAGCAATACCCTTTCTGCTTGTTCTCATCACTGAAGTAGAAGAGGCGTGAAGCGTGGAACAGGAGCTCCACCAGGTAGTGAGGGACCAGCAACACCAGGCCCAGTCGGTGGAGGCTGAACATGATGGGACATAGAGAGAGACGGATGGCAACACAGAATTAACTTAAAGAAAAAGTCCTCTTAATGAACATTGCGGTGAAACAGGAGTTGCAACATTTCCATATCAGTTCCTCATATTAAAGTTTTTCAGGTACTATCACATCCCCTTACAAACAAACCTCCCATTGCAGCATGGGATGTCACTTATAGTGGTGAATAGCTTGTCTCCTGATACCCAAGGGGAAAAAAAAGCAAACAGAACGAGTGATACACACCGCTGACATTAGAAGGACACTTGAAGAAAGATTGTATTGTTTGGATTAACTAAACGCAGTTGCTATGTACCGCTGTGTTTGCTGGTTATAGCTTTTCAAAGCTCTCTGTAGTATATGGCGAGAATAAATCAATAACTCTTGCAGCAGTTGTAAAAAAGGCCACTGAACTCTTGTGTGTGTGAGAGATGCAAACTCAACAGCAGGTAGGTACTAGCCATAAAGTCTTTAGCCTTAAACCATCAGGCATTGACATTACCATTACACAGACTTAACTGAGGACGACTCAGTACGTGGAGAAAGAAAAACTCCCCCTCGTAGAATATGGCTTTCATATCAGTTTTTTTTTTTTTAGATCAATGGTCTTTGAAAAACACGTGGGCCTCACAGATCAAAACACAGTATCAATTCCCTGTATAAAGGAAAAGTCAGCTGACCTGGGTTAGAGGTTAGAAGAGAACTGAAAAATTCTCCTCAAAGTCCATCACTCAAAGAAGAAAACAAAGCAATTACCAAATCATAAACTCGAAAATAATGTGTAGTAGCTTAGCATCAGGTACGCCGTCTGATTGTTAATTTGATAATTAATGTGAGGCACTGGTTTGAAACACTACTTATCAGGATACATTATATCTTCATGAGCAATACACCTATAGTATACGTCTTCTTCACAGGATAAGCTGAGAAAATGAAACATTTCACTCACTTTAAGACATAGGCACCAGTGATGTGGACAACATAAAGGCAAATGTAGTAGAGCTGGCGGGGGATGTCCTCCTGTAGAAATAAAACAAAGGGCGGGAGAGAGTTTGTATTAGTAACAGCAGCGGCCGCTCCATAGCAGCAACATCAATTCTATCCAAGTGACAAAACATTTCTTCACACAGGCTCTGAGCATTTTTAACTTTGGACATGAAGTAGCAGAGTGTACTGTAGATTTTACTGTATAGAAAAACATTCTTGGGAAGCAATTGCTTTAAAGTCTGCAGCCTTTAAAAAACACAGCCAGGACTCATTACCCACGTTCTAGCTTTGACGCTATGGTACATTTTCTGTGCACATTAAGCCTCAACATCCACTTGGCTCCAATTAACTCTACAAAAATGGTATATATATGCACAGAATACCAACAAAATAGCTACACAGACATGCATTATCCAATAAATCTAGTAGAAAAAAGAGCCAATAATAAGTCAACATGTCTCATTGCTTGTGTAGGTGCAACAGAGGTGCGATTGTTTAATGTATTCCTAGCCCCTATGTGCACATCTGCACAGTCCTCAGCTGATTCCTCGTGGAAACACATAAAAATGCCAGGAGGGATCAGCATTGGTTGGAGGGATATTCACCGACTGTATGTATAAACTATTGTAGTCATCATAGGTTACTGCACACTCAAAAACTTTGATAACTAGTGAAATTAATTGTATCTTAGTCTGATGTGTTACTGTTGACCCACTCAAACTCAAGTTTTTCACCACTTCTCATTTATTAAGAGGTTATATGGTTAATGTGGTCGTAAAACTCAATATTTTTCTTTCACTTGAGCCAATGTACCACCTCACATGTGCAACGCAAGGCCATCAACTTACAGAAAGAAGTTGCTGCTCTGCTAACCTACGGGAAACATACAAAAACCTGCAGCATTTTACATCAGTGTACCTCATTTGAAAATAAATACATAAAAATGACCCTCACCTTCCGTACTTTTTGAAAGTACAGCTCAGGAAGTGCATGGAGCCAATAGGCAATTTGGCAAATGTAGAAGAACTTGACCTGAAAACTAGACAGAGGACAGGTTGTGCAGAAGTAAGAACCCATGTGTTACTTGGGCATGGACAGAAGTTACATCATATGGTGGACTGTATTCTATTTAAAATACATGCACAAGTCAAACCAGTAAGTAAATCGGAAGGAGGCTGATCTAGACTACATGATCCCCCATTGATCTATGACACAGGATCTTAAACTCTGATAAAAGATGATAAGATGGATCCCAACAATTGTACCATATAATTTAAAAGAAGGACTAAACAATAGTAAATCTCCAAATACTGAATGCAAATACTTCCCTACTTCTCATTACCAGTAATCATTAAATTGTAAAATATGACCTTATGATGTGTAGGAGTCTATAGATCTTTACTTACACCATGTGAGTGTGTGGGTAACCCTCCCATAAGAAAGTTGGATTTGTTGCGAAGTCCTCCTGTCAGAAAGAAAAGAGACATACGCATAAGATAAAGCCTAATGCCATCTGGGACAGTGTGTTTCTGTGACTCTCTAACCCTCGTACCGCTGTCAGGATGCTGCAGCCCCAGATGAAGGAGAATAGGTAGAACGCAGCGAGCTGTCCAGACTCATTGAACTTGCTGTGTTTGGTTTTTGACAGGTGCAACCTCCTGTTCATTTTCTGAAATCAAACAAAACATTACATAAGGTGAACACATTAATATATTAAATGTTGATGTAGGGGGGATATTTAGTTCCTTCTTTTTTTTTTTTTTTTTAATTATACAAGCGTGTATATGTTTTTACTCACATCTCATTACAAAACTAAGATATCTGTAGATTCATTTATGGAGGAACGAGAGGTTGAAGGACCAGTGTGTAAGATTTTAGTGGCATCTAGCGGTGAAGTTGCAGATTGCAAGCAACTGAACACCACTCGCGTCAGTATTTGATGAACCCAGGAATGAGAACAGGTGGTGTGTACGAGAGACTACGGTGGCTGCCCTATCTACAGCCAGTGGTTAGTTTGTCCATTCTGGGCTACTACAGAAACAAAACAGCGGCCTCCAGAAGAGGACCCACTGCCTCTGTAGATAAAAACATCTCATTCTAAGGTAACAAAAACACAATGATTCCTCTATTCAGGTGATTGTACACAAATGAAAACATACCTATATGAATATTATATTCTCTGTCTGCCATTAGATCCTCCTAAATGTTACACACTGGACCTTTAAGTACATAAAAAATACCTGTCGCTGAGATGAAATTGTCATAGCTCTAACAAACAAGAGTAGCTGTGAACATTTTCCTTCTTGCACATGTGTTTTAAATAGGAGTCCTTTGACCTTGAAGGATAGGATTCACATTTTTCTAAGTCTGTCTTCAGTCTGGGCAGCTAAGCAAGTAGAGTAGGTAATCTATTAATCACAAGGTTGGTGGTTCGATCACCCACTCCACATTGTCAAAGTGTCCCTGAGCGAGACACTAAACCTCACTGAGGATGTTGTCCTCTATCTCTCAAACCGTAAGTGTTTCAGGAAGTTATGCTGGCCTGTTTTATTGTTCACACCAGACAATTGTTTTAAGACAGACATTAAAAGGTAGGATCTTATTCTTCAGGAGAGACAGTTTTCTGGTGGTCGTCCACAAAAAGGATTTTTTATTTTTGGAATAAAAATATATAAAAATATTTTTCTAATGATAGCCCACTGGGAAATGACATCAAAGACAAAAGATGCCAGGAGAAACATGAGCACTGCTTCAGTCATTGTGCGTTAGTGCACATAATGCAGCTGGAAGGATTGGACCTGATTACCTACAAATGGCTCTCCAAAAAGTATTCAAGGACCAGAACAGAGCCGAACACACACAATAGGCGTTATTTGATAAAAAAAAACTAGATGACTGCAGTGAGCACTCAGGCTCCTGCGTCCGTCGCACCCAAAAGATCAAAATAATAAGTCACTTTGGTAAAAACAACAAACAATGTGAGCCGATATTTGATGGCTGCTGAGTTTGGATATTGGATGAACTCACGTCGAGAATATATTCTTGTATCAAGGCATGAAGGATGACCGCGATGAGCAGGTAGAAAAACACCGTGGCCACATCTTTAGGACCGTACTGGTAGAGGTTCACCGGCTCACTCTTCTCATCTGCAGAAAAACAAGAAAACCTTAAAATCCTTTACAATTGAGGCGGAATACACGACCAATAAAAAACATTGCAGATGCAGGAAAATGCTGAACACTGAAATGACGCTATAAACTTCAGCTTACCAAGAACCTGTGTGACGTTGTACTGGACCGTGATGAACATGATGGCAAACTTTGCTGTGACCTGGAACACAAAGAAGAAGAAAAACAAACAGGATTAACTGAATGATGCAGGAGTCAGAGGAAAAGGTTTGTCACTGACCGCTGACATATTTCACACAAAAAAGCAGCAAAGTGTTGTCATAAAAAGTGAGTTTAATCCTCGTGGATTGTCCCACGTCAGTGAACCTTACTCTCTTTCTCGACAGGTGGAAACAGAGCGTCTTAATCTACGTTCAATCTTTTAGTATCAACCTGTAAAACGACTGTGAAAGAAATCAGACTGCTGTGTCACTGCAGGATCCTGAATCCACTGATTCCCATAACTAGGGTCTAGGGACCTCCAAGTTGGGGAGGGGGGGGACTGCCTGGAGGGACTCTCAGGGGGGGTTTTCTAGCAAAAATGAGTCCTATTTCAAGTTCACTACCACTGCTACAATGACCCTCATTGTGTCAGGATGAACTGTATCATTGGGCAGCACTTTCTCCTTGCGTGAAGGCGTTGATCTTTCTTTTTCCAAGCTACATCTTCCACAGGTTTAGGCGGATTAAGGCAAAGATCTTATCATTTTCCAACAGCATTTAGAGTCTGGTTGGCTGGGTGTTTGGGTGGGGACAGGTTAGTATCTTGTTTCATTCAGACGTGGCTTGATAACAAGCCAGCTCTGACGAACCAGTGATCAAAAGGTGTAGCATGCAGACACTTTCAAGCCTCCTCTAACCTGCTACCCAAGGCCAGATACATGTATTGTTTTGGTTTTTTTTTTTTTTTTTTTTAAGCTATGAAGGCAACGGATTAGCCGACTGGTTTTCAAATAAAATGACCTGTGTTAGCTGTGCCAGTGGGCCTCCTCGCCATCTTCTTTGGCAATCAGTGAGACACATGAGAAGGGAAGGAGAAAGACACTCTAGCGCCCTGCCCCTGGAGTCGCTGCTGTCATGTCAGCTAACGATAGTTAGCAAAGCAGCTAACATCACTCGGCTAACAGCTCCTGGTGCTTTTTTTTTTTTTCCCCCTCTCTCTCTCCACTCACACAGTACCTCGAACATCAGGCCGAGGAGGATAATCATGGCCAAGCACGAAACCATATCGGCGTGATTCTGGATCACAAACTCGTGGCTCAGCACCGGTGGGCTCTTGTTCTTCTTGCGGAAACCCATGGCTCCCCGACACGGCTCTCTCTCTCTCTCTCTCTCTCTCTCTCTCTCTCTCTCTCTCACTCTCTCTCTCTCTCCGGCTCCGGGCTGCCGTCACTGAAGTGGTGCTAAGTTGGAGGCTACAGCTTTCCCTGCCCTCTCTCTCTCTCTCTTTCTCCACACACACTCACACACTCCTCCACCTCCTCCACCTCCTCTCCGATGCACGGCTGCTGTGTGCTGGCCTGCACGTCTCAGCTGATGGGTGTCTGCTCTGCTCGGGGCTGCTCGCTCCACTGAGGTCCGTAAGCTCGTGGGTTTTAAAAACAGTCATGAGAAAAAAAAAAAAAAAAACCCAAAACACTACGGCAACAACACCCACTTCTTTTTTCTTTTTTTTTTTTTTTTTTTTTGTGTTACCGTGCCTGGTTAAAGTCAGATGACGGGGCCCTCCCACTTCAAAACCCCATTCATGAACCGCCCAGTGTCATTGACGTAGAAGGAGAACCCAGGCCCCACCGTGGGCGATCGCTCCCCCCCACCGTGGAAGACCCGCCCTACTTTGCCTCTGATTGGCTTAGCCTGACATTCTGATCCCGAATCGAACCAATCGCACGCCTCATGCCCACACCCAACCAATCACAGCCAATGAAGGCTACGTGTACTAGCCAATCAGAGGCGGAGGAGGGCGGGTTATGATTTTTTTTCCCCCGTGGTGCCTTCACGTACTCCTCGTTTTGCTGAGAAGAAAATAAAAACTGTAGATATAATATTATATATAATATATAATTATATATATATAATAGTTTGAGTGATGCAACATTGTTTGCAGGTTTGAGGAGAAACAGATTAAATAAGGATGAATGAGGATACAAAAAAAGATCAGATTACAGTTATATTTACTAAAAAAAAAGAGGATTATTTAGCAGGATTATAGTTTTAAAAGACATCCTTTCTTTAATAAGGGGACACGTAGATGTTAAAATAATGTCTTTTTTCATATTTTATTTTTTGTTTTGTTGATGTTACATGTACAGTTATATTCATCTTTGCATAATAGTATATATAATTTTTATGTTCTAGATTTTTATTTTAATATTTTATATTATCTTGTCTTTATCTTGGTTTAAATAATCCAAAATTAACAGAAAGTAATCAGGTTACGTTACTGTAATATTGGGATATTTGGATTAGGATACTGACAACAATTTTTTTATTAGTAATTGTATCGAATTACATTTTTAAATTAACCCTCCCAACCCTGATTGTTTAGGGATATGTTATATTTCAGCACACCATAATCTGAAATGGTAGGTCTGTTTGGAAATGGTACTATATATGAGTTGGATTCCCAAATGGGCAAGGCAGGTAATTGCTCCAGACCCCTGGGGGCCTCAACAGCCCCAGGTTGATGGTAATTTGTTTAATTGCGGATTTATTAGAGAATTCACACCACTAAAGTACAATATCATCTGAAGCAAGTCCTGCATTATTTCTCAGTTTTATGAGTCTGGCTCCTGAGTCAAATCCTTGTTTTAAAGGTCCAGTGTGAAACATTTAGAGGGATCTATAGGCAGAAATTGAATACAGTATTCATAGGTATGTTTTCATTGGTGTATTAATCACCTGGAAATAAGAATCGAGTTTTTGTGATGCTAGAATGAGCTGTTTTTTATGTACAGAGGGAATGAGTCCTCTTCTACATAGTCTGCATATTGAACCACCCAGTTTCTACAGTAGCCCAAAATGGACAAACCAAACACTGACTTGCATTTTTAAATAGGGTCTAAAAGTGTCTCTGTGGCGCCTTAAAATGTTTTTGACCGTGAAAAATAGCAGGAATTAAAGTATTTCTAATGCACTCTCATTTACTTTGAGAACATTTAGGATTAAAAATTACTTTTTTTTCCAGGAACATCTGGAATCAACAAACAAATCGTAGGTAGTTGTTAATGAATGATCCGATTGCTTTAAGTGAATTAAGGGAGCCTATCTGAAAAGCTGGTTTCTTTCTTTCTCAAAGTTGGTCAATGTTGGCGACGGAAAAAGTGGCATGGCCATTTACAAAGGGATCCCTTGACCTCCGGTCATTAAGATACCTGAATGAAAATGGGTTTCCCCTTTGCAGACATGCCCACTGTATGCTAACACCATGCAGTTTTTTTTGCATGTGGTATAAAAGTGTTATATTTGCCTAGTATATTTAAATATTTCTGGATTCTGGGGTCCATAAACTGTATTGGAATTGACTGGAAAGCTGAGTCATACACTTCAAGCCACCCCTGCATAAGTCAGTGCCCCACTTGTGCCTTGCCTGGTAAAAAAAAAAAAAGTCTGGATACTCCCCATTTTACATTAAGAAAGAGAGTGACTGGACGTTGCAATTGCTTGTCAGTGGCTCCTGTTTAAGATAGAGCTGAATATATATACTTTATTAATCCCCTATTGGAGAAATTGTTCTTTTCACTGTTTTTTATTTTATATATATATACACACACACAGACAGGCTGAAATGCACACTTGATGCACTTGTGGACATGCAAACAGGGAGAGAGATGGTGGAGTGATAAAGTCAATTATGATTTATATGGATTTTTTTTCCTGCTGGGGGGCTTGTTATGTCTTTACTGGGCAGGAGACAGACAGGAAAGGGGATGACACACAGCACAAGGCCACAGGTCAGACTCGAACCTGTGGCCACTGCAGCAAGGACTCAGTCTTGATACCATTGACTATATATATTAGTATATGGGGCGCCAGCTCCTGCAGGCGAGCAACCAGGGCCCCTTTACGGCTGACTTTAATGTGTCTCCTCTAACTTAACAGTGATTTACGGACAATTTACGAGGAAAAGCAACAGTCAGGTAACCATCGTTTACATGATACATTATTATTTTGACGCTTTTTTGGTGACTCGTTGCTGTCACCTAATTAACTTTGCTAATTAACCGTTCATTTAAGTTTTCTTCGAGGCCTTTAGGGGCGGCCTTGTCCATCTAACAAAAGAGAGCATTTGTTAAAACACGCTTGCGAAAGTCAGTCTTAAGTCTTTTAGGGCTTTAACCGGACATTTTAACACGATTTTTCAACCAATATCGTTTTTATAAGTTGCTCAGACGAGCTCGAACGACAATATAACACTTCTTGTTCTTTGACGCTAGAGGTCAGTATGAGACAGAACCGGGTTTTCAGGATCTCAGATCAGCGGTACACACCAGCACAACGTGACGCAGATTCATATATATGTAACATAATGTCCACTATATACAATATCAACCATAAAAATGTCTGGTATGTATACTCCGATATTCAGCCCGGCTAGCTCAGTCGGTAGAGCATGAGACTCTTAATCTCAGGGTCGTGGGTTCGAGCCCCACGTTGGGCGGAGCTCTTTTCCCTCTCTCACTGACACAAGTACCGCCAACTCTCTACAATCGTATCGCGACTCTTTCGCTTTTTAATTTATGTGGGAAAGACGCAACAATAATTTCTGCAGCCATAGTTTCTTTTACTGTTTTATTCAGCTGCTTTTTTATAAACATATTTTTTTATTTTATTTTGAACCCGCCGTTCGCCTCTGTGGAGGAGTAAAACAGAGTCCAGTCTAACATTATCTAACAGTGTAAGAGCTGAGGTGTGCTGTAATGTAGACTACACTCTGCAGCAATAGGTAAGAGTTCAATTGCATTACATTAAACATTGTGTTTCTTATATTTGGACATCCCTTTTACATCTATGGAGGAGTAAACACTGTTCATTGTAGTCCACGATCACTATGAGTTACTGCATTACATATTATACTAGAGTTGAGTCAACATTTGATTCAGTCTCAACAAAATAAGAACATTATAAGTGTCCCCAAGATGGTATTCATGGCAGGATTATGTTACATTATGTCTTTTCTATTGCTATCGAATGTCAAAAGGACAACAAAAACTGGTGCTTCATCCAGCTGTGTTGAATTATTTATGATCACTGTAACAGCACAGCCATCAAAGAGGAAACCCTATGCACACTTTATACAAACCTCCCCCAGTGTTTCTGAAATCACCTCTCAATTTTAATATTCCTTTACACAGAAGAGGAGATGTGGGATATAAATATTACATTTTTGTTTTTATTATATCTACTACATTGTGCATTGTACATATGAGCTGATTGGTGAACACCCAACAATCCATAAGGTTATTAGAGTATAACAGCAATGTGTGACATAAAAGGTTCCTCATAACTAGTCTTCTTCCCTTTCCTTTCCAACACACCATAGACGTGTTTTGACTATACAATCTCATTTTACCTGCCTTTTTCTGTCTTTTAATTTTATATTTTTTAGCAGACTGAATTGCCAAAATAGGTGAAGAGCTACACAGCCTCTCCTTTCTCTGGAAACAGCCAAGAGGGAGGGAGGAGTTTAAACAAAGGCCCTCTCCACATAAAAAAAAATGGAGGCTTGTACAGAGAAGCCATGGTGTCCTGCTCCTCACACTCTACTTGCTGCCATTTCTACTTCTAAAGCCTTCAAATAAGACAACTACCGCCAGATTCTACCCTTGGAAGCTTAGAAACATTACATGGGGTTTGTATGTCGAAAATACTCATATTAATCGTGTTATTTTGTGGTTTTAGGCCTAGCTCTCTGCTTATTTTTCTTCCCCTGTCTCTGACACTCACAGTGCTGCCCCTGCCTGCACTGAACAAAGATAATTACTCAGGAAACATTTCGGCCAATCAGACGCGGCCTTGTATCCTGCCTGTAAGGAGAGCGACCAGTCAGGATCTGGCTAACATCACTGGGGCCTGATCGCCTTGCCTGAAGAGCGGAGCCTTCCCCCGGCTGAGGGCTGAGAGTGTCCTCCATGTTTTATAAGTGTTGACATAACAGTGTATCAGGCAGCCATGCATCCACAGAGGTAAGCTCTGTCTTTTTTATCTCAACTCTCTGATAACGACATGGCTTCCTTCTTGTTGTTGTGGCGACTGTTGGTTTTCTCATGATGAATGTGCACACCTTAAAATCAGTTTAGTGTGCAAGGAGGAGGAGGAGGAGGAGCTGGGGTGGATTGGAGGCCTCGGCAGGCCTCTCTGCTCCACAGCGCTGAGGGTGGGGGGTTGGGTAACGACTCTCACCCTTGCTCTCTCTCTGTGTCTCAGGGTCACATGGGTGCCCCAGACAACCAGGCTGCCA